GGTTGGTCCCAGGGACTGAGTCCATACTGAAAGAATTAAGTGATGGCTGATCATCCAAATTATTTTTTCTCATCAGTTTTACTGGTGAAGATTATAAGGTAAATTTCATGAGTGGATCTCTCTCCCAAAAATATTGAGATATCCTTGAATGAAGTTAGAATTAACCCAGTCTTTATAAGGTTCAAAATTGGAAAACTAAAAGAACATATAGTACCTTGGCCAGGTGATGTTTATTCTAGAATATCAAAGAAAAAGCAGATTTATGGGATGGTATCATTAATTTTATATTAAATCATTAAAATTGGTGAAGTTCTTGTAGATTGGTTTTAAGATGGGGGAGATAGACATAATAAGTAATTACCAACTAGTCGGTGATTAGGAAATTACTAGTTTATTATTAAAGAAAAATTCTATGACAGCATTTAACATAATATAAAATTTAAAAGCAACAAGGGACCCATCCACAAAACTAAACTTTAAAAAGAAAAAACTCAAAGTCAACTGTTATCATTCAGATATTCATTAAATCTTCCATTAAACTTCCACAAGTTTACTGCATCCACCACATCTGAAGGCACTCTATTGCAAAGGCCAGTCACCCTCTTTGAAAAATAAAATTGTCTTAGCTGAAGATGACTCCTACCTGCCAAAATTTACATTTGTGTCCCCCAGTTCCACCATTTTTATCATCAAGTATGAAAAAATATCATTCATCAACACTACCAATTCCCTTAATCTCAAACACCTCAATCAGTTCCTCTCTAACTTTTCTTTTTTTCTAGAGAAAACAATTTCAGAGATATTAATTTGTAATTATATTGCAATTCTTCCATCCCAGCTGTCATCCTATTAGCCTTCCTCTGTGTTTCTTAATGACCCCAAGCCTGAACACAGTATTCCAAATATGGCCTAACCATTTCTCTATACAATGAAATTACAAACTCTTTAGACTTGTATTCAGTATTTCTGTAGATACAACATAAAATCCTATTTGCTCAGCCATTAACAACAGTATACTATTTGGATTGCTCAAGAGACTGATCAACCAGAATACCAAGCTCCTTTTCTTCCATAACATGTTTTATGTTATTCCTGTCTAAAGTATGCTAATAATTCAAATTATGATATGCGACATGCATTACATTTATTTATTATCGTTAAAAGCCATCCGTCATTTATTTACCAATTAATCCAAATCCTTTTGTAAAGTAGCAGCATCCTCCATACAGCCACCATCCAAGACCTTAATATCATCATTAAATTTAAGTTTTTTTGAGAATGCTAAATTTAATCTACATAAAGGTAATTCAGTGGATTTGGTTTACTTGGATTTTCAAATAGCTTTGATGAGGTGCTACATTAAGAAATTTTGCAAGACTACATAAGCGAGTTAAATGTATTGAGAGTTGGGTGGAGGTAGGAAACAGAAGGAATGCTAGTGGTTCTCTCAAGTGGTCTTTTGCATCATAAATATGTTCGCCCCAGACTGTACATTCATGGACATGTATGAGTAAAGCAGGCAGGGATTGCTGTGCATCTCTAATGCTCCATGGGATTGAGACTATTCTTACTGTGAACCTTACATACAATTCCAGATGCTTTTGGGTGTAGGTTGAGTGACTCTATAAATGTGGTAGCTTTGCTTTTCAAAATATGGTATTGTGGTCAT